ATAGCTCTTTTTCAGGGCGATGTTCAGGACGATATTAGATGATTTGTACTGATCATCCAGGATGATATATTATCGTCCTGAATGATATGAACAAATTTCTTCTGATCATCTCAAATATTCGTGACTGATTGGGCTTAATTTGCACTGATCATACAGGATGATAGGAATATCATCCTGGACGATAAAGTTGGCAACTTGCATTAATGAGCACGTTTTGAGATCTTCTATTTAAGCTTTTAACAAGGCACTTTTGTAAGTATCTTTGGAAGCCATTGTAACTTCGTTCTTTTGGGGAAAACTTTAAGAGAGAGCTTGAAAGGGAGTAAGGAAAGGGTGGAGTTTGAGAGAGGGAAAAGATCCTGTGAGGGGGGACTCAAGGGAGTGTGGAGGGGGTTCCACACGGTTGCTCTGGCAAGCTCGCACCTGAATACCGTCTGATTTAAGGCTTGTCTCTAGGGAAGTTCACCAAAGAAGAAGATATCTTCGGTGTTAAAGGACCCGGCGACTCCGCCGCATCGGGGAATGTGGAAGTGATTTTGTAAGGGCTTCTCTGCCTAGCTGTGGGGGCTAAAGGAGAGACACTTAGTTTAGTGCAATACTTGGAGGGTGCCTCCAAGGAGCGGATGTAGGTCAAGGTTTGACCGAACCACTATAAATCTGGTGTATTCTTTCTTTTATTACTTCCGCATTTAATTTCTGCATCATTGATTTCTTTATGGTGAATTTGGTTTGTTGTCTTTGGTTTAAAGATTTCTTAAATTATCAATTCACCTCTCTCTTTTAATTAGTCTTGGGCTAGTTCATAGGGCCTAACATCCCTAACGATCTTTCACAGAGAACCTCCTCATTTTTCTCCCTCATAAAGAAGACAGAATACCTTCGAGGTCACGGATGTAGAAGAGTCTCCTCCTTAGAGAGCCTCCTACAAGTTCTTCCCAGGCCACAGGAGGAGCAAGATGCAGTAAGTATGGATCAACCGTGTGATCTCCCTCACACCTCTTCTCCCTCACCAAGCTCACCTTCTCCTTCCTCTCTCAAACCCTCAAAACTTCTCAAGAGCTCTCTCCCAAGGATTTCCTCTCTAATCACGTTCCTCTCTTTCTGTCTATCTCTCGAAACATAACAATTTTGACACATAAAACGGGCTCCAAAATCCCTGAAATTTTCAAAGTAGCTGTTACAATCGTACAGTACGATTTCTCATCGTACAGTATGACATATATAAATAGGCTTCATCCTAGTACAAAGTTGTACGAACAGTTCAAAATCTAATCGTACTGTACGATACTGAATCATACGGTACGATCCTCACCACCACTGCTCGTACATGACGATAGCCGAGACGATCAAATGTTGTCTTCTGTTCATCGTATGGTACGATACACACCGTATAGTATGAATGGTCAAAATCAAGGCATCATCCAGGATGAATTCTGGGACAATCAAATGTCGTCTCTGTTCATCGTATGGTACGATAGACATCGTACAGTACGATGAGACAAAAACTAGGGATCGTCAAGGACGATCTCCGGGACGATCAGAATTCGTCTCTGTTCATCGTATAGTACGAACGTATTCGTACAGTACGATTATCAATCAGTAATTAGGCTTTGATTTATTCCACTAATCACGGGTTAATTTAAGTAAATATTTAAAATAGATCGTACAATACTATGTTATTCGTATAGTACGAATGGCGGAGAATAACTTACTTAAGTTAATGTGACGGCTAGGGTTTTGGATCTGAAACACATCGTACAATACGATAGTATTCGTACAGTACGATCTATTCAGAGAAATCATTTTATAACATAATATCGTACAGTATGAAATAACTTCGTACAGTACGATTATTAGAGAAAGAAAAAACTATATTTTTTACTTTTAAAACCCTATCCCCTTGTGTGTGTGCATGGTTGCTCAAACTTACATGCAATTTATGGTCAGACTCAAGAAAATAAAAAATAAAATAAATAACAAATTACATTGTCAAACTCATACTCTTAATCTAACCAGACTTGAGTCTTCCCGTTGTCCTGAGTGGCTTGTGATCTTCCTGAAATGTTAGTACTCATGGACAATAGCAAACCATAAATGATATTCAATGAAAAGTAGTTCAGACGACATTATTTGTCATAATCAAAATCTCAAACTCGGGGTCATGAGTCGCAACACTCGACAACTTTTAAAAGTCTTATGAGCAAATAAAATACTTTATATGTATTGATGATATCTCCTAATACAAAGAAAAAGAAACAAAAAAAACTTTTTAAATACACCAAAGTTCAAATTGACCATATAAAAATAAGTAAAATGATATTTTAATCAATCAATTTAGGAAGATTATTACCTTCATGACTAGTATGGTCCATCTACCCATCAAAGTATCCTTTATTACGCTTCATAATTATTCTCCTATGATTTTAAGAGGATTATGAGACATTCATAAGTTTGTATGAAGAGTTGTGCTTGATGAACTGCACAAATCTTGATATAAAATCCATGGCCTTTGTCTTGCATTATATCATATATACATTGGTTTAAACTCCATTTTTGCTCTTATGAGTTTTTCTTAATTTTGCATTTTCTCTCTCTTTATTGTAATTAATAAATAAACTATGAATTAAATTATTTAATCATTTTGTTAACTTCAAATTATATTATTTATTATTTAAGATTAAAATTAAAAAGTAACTCATATTTAAAATGTAATTTTTAAAAAATAAAATTTTAATTTAAAATTTTAATGAACTAATTACCTTAAATTATAACTTACATTGCCAAACAATTTTCAGGATTTATCTAAATTTAAAATATTTTAATAAATAATTTTTAAAATTTAACAACTTTAAAATTTAATAAATTCAAAATTTATATAATTTACCAAGGTTTTTAAAATTGGACTAGACAGACCGATTTGATTGGTTTAACAATGAACCAGTCCAGTGGGCGGTCTGATTAAATGGAATAACCAGCTGGATTAAGAACCGGTCAAAAACCAGTAAAGAACCCAGTTGAACTGGGAAATCGCCGAACTGGATGGTTTTTGAAGAATCGGGCGGTTCTTCAAAACACAAATCTAATCGTTTAATCTACGGTCGAATGGTCATGGGTATGCGTGGTTTGGTATAACCTTTCTATTATTCGTTGTTCTGCCCTAAAATAGGCCATATGCGACTCTTGGCGCTCCTTCTCCGCCGGTCTCGGTCCATCCACAAGGAACAATGAGACAAATCCTCCGACCTCCCAACCGTCGGCGCACACGGCTAATCAAACTTCTTTCGCCGTTTGTCGAGCTCACGTGCTTCGACTCATCTTGGCCGCCGACCCATTGAGCTCAGACTAGCCAAATCCGACGCATGTTTGAATTCCTTCTCCATTTTGAGTATTTTTTTCACATTTATGTTTGCATTCAGAAACCACTAGCATATCATCATAAGGTTGTCATCATAGGGTAAAAATCAATTTAGTATGCATCTTCCTATTTTGATTTGTCTGTCTTTCTTTCTACTTAATATTTTTGGTCATGACTTTACTATTACTGTGGTTGCGAACAAAAGAAAGACAAAGTACTAAACCACTCTTCATCAAAAATCACTATAGCCAAGGCTTTACCATTACTCCAATTACTTAGTTTTGATTATGCAAACATTTTTTTTCCTGATATGCATTCCTCTTCAAAACACTTCAGCCAACATCAATTGCCTGTTTACGAACAAAAGGCGGAATGCTAGACATCTTATACATCAAGTGCTTGCTTCTTTGATTAGTTTGATATGAAAATAGATTGTAGATACTAGATTGAAGGGACTAGAGAAAAATTTCTCATTTATTTTATACTTTTTAATAATATTATTATTTATTATGCCACCCAGTTAGAATCGAATCGGTCGAACTGTAAACTTCTCATTTTTCCGATTCGATGTATGATCCTATTTTCAAAACCTTGTAATTTACTAATATTTTATTTGGGATAATTTTTTATCATTATTTTTGCTTTAAAAAATTTAATCTTAAAAAAATTAATTTAGAAAGTATTAAAAATTTACGCCAAACGAAATCTAAATCTTAATTAAATTAAATCCTACCTGTAGATGGCCTGTTTTCGCTCAGTCCAAACACCAACACGGTCGAGTTACTATATTTTAAGTATTATGATTAGAGACGTGATTGATAGATTTGGTTCTTTGTCATCAATTTATTGTTTTAAAAATAAATAAAATTTATTAATTATATGTTTACCATTTTTACAGTTCCAAAACAAAATTGTTTATCATTTTAAGAAAACATAGATGTTATTTTGGCATTGGCTTTTGCGAGAGTGAAATGTGAAGTCTCTTTCCCAATATTTACCGAGCTCTTGCGGGTTACGATACAACCAGGACGGTGGGGTCCGCCGACAAACCAATCTCATTATCTGGTCAACTTCTTGGTCAATAAATTTCAATTACTTTATTTATTGAACCGTAGTCTCAAAATAATAATAATAATAATCGGAAGGAAATTTTCAAATTTCGACAAGCAGATTGTGGGCCAAGGGAGTGGCGCAGAGAAAATTCCTTCGCGCAGGATTATGCGGACAAAGAATCTCAATATCCCACCGTCCAATCCTCAATAAAGTAAATCATACGAACACAATAATTTCTTCCGTATAATATCTCAGTTCTTTTTCAAAACCGCGGTTATTTTATTTCCCGGGCCGCCCTTAGGTCCCGACAAAAGCCTAAATTGATTTGAATCATTTCAAAACGCCACGGCTCCCAACTCGCCCTTTTAATACCTAACAAATTACTAAATTAGTCATCTGAGCTTTAAGCTTCATCATAAATTTCATCAACTCAACAACCTATTTTTGTCTTTTCGAGTTTTCAGTACTGCATACACTTCTCGTCTACTTCCTCAGCCTCTTCACTCAACTCTACGCCGCACTCCTCCACTCCTTGTAGCAGTAATGGTGGTATTGTAGAGAGAGAGAGAGAGCAGAAGAATAAGGGAGAACAATGGTGAAGGTTGCTTGGGCGCTACTTCTTTTCTCTGTCGCCTCGCAGGCGGCGGCGCTGACAACCGATGGTCTTTCCCTGCTCGCTCTAAAGGCTGCAATCTCGCTCGATCCTTATCGCATTCTCGACTCCTGGGTCGATTCTGATGAAGACCCCTGCGCTTGGCGAGGCGTATCGTGCCAGAGCGGAAGGGTCACCGCTGTCTCTCTGGCGAACATTTCTCTTGAGGGCTACCTCCCGTCTGAGCTCTCCCTGCTCTCGTCTCTCGAAATCCTCTCGCTACCGTATAACCGCTTCTTTGGCCAGATCCCGTCGGCAATCGGCGAGATCAGAAGCTTGGTATCGCTTGACCTCTCCAACAATGATTTCTCCGGTCCCGTGCCATCCGAGATTGCGGGTTTAGAATCGCTCGCTAGTCTCGACCTTTCGTCCAACCAACTCAACGGCTCACTCCCCCCGGAAATCGCCGCGCTCCCACGGCTCTCCGGCGTGCTGAACCTCTCCTGCAACCTCTTCAGTGGACAAATCCCGTCTGCTTACGGCAACATTCCGGTTGCCGTGAGCTTGGATCTCAGGCAGAATCAGCTCTCTGGGGAAATACCCCAGGTCGGTTCGCTGCTGAACCAGGGCCCCACCGCCTTCGCCGGGAATCCAGCCCTCTGCGGTTTCCCGCTCAAGTACGCCTGCGATCAACCAGTTGCAAATTCAAACCCTAGCTTCAATGTCAGATCCCCTTCCCCGCGATCAACCGCGGAAGCGAGGCAACGTAGGCCAGTGGCGATGATCCCGATCCTCGCTGTAATCATCATTGCCGCACTCGTATCAGTTATTGTACTCCAATGGCAGTTCCGCCGAAGGCGCGTTGCCTCCGCTGGTGGCAACCGAATCTTTGGCAAGAAGCAGAAAGGTTCGCCGGCGTGGAATGATCGGCGTGAGGGGCAGAATGCCGAAGAGATCTACATGGCTGTAGACGAGAGCTTCGATCTCGAGCTTGAGGAACTTCTCCGTGCCTCAGCTTATGTGATCGGAAAGAGCCGGAGTGGCATTGTCTACAAAGTCGTCGTCAGTCGCGGCCCTGCTTTAGCTGTCCGTCGGCTCAGCGAGATAGACGACGGAAACGGTCCCGATGACCAGTGCCGCCGCCGCCGCACGTTTGAGGCCGAGGCAGCTGCGATCGGACGCGCTCGGCATCCTAATTTGGTCCAGCTTCGCGCTTATTACTACGCACCTGACGAGAAGCTACTCATCTATGATTATATCCCTAATGGAAATCTCTTCATGGCACTGCACGGAGAGCAGCAAGCGGCGGCGGGAGGACCGACTCTGACCCCACTTACATGGGCGGCGAGACTTGCGATCTTGAAGGGAGTGGGACAAGGGTTGGCTTGCCTCCATGATTACAGCCCGAGGAAGCTCGTTCATGGCAGCTTGAAGAGCACCAAGATTCTTCTCGACGAGGAGCTACGGCCATACGTTTCCGGTTTCGGGATTGCTCAATTGCAGCGTGGTGGCGGAGGTGGAACGAAGCAGCAGCTGGCTGCGGTGGAGGCGGCCTACGCAGCACCGGAGATGAGGTCGCCTCCTACGCAGAGAGGCGATGTGTACGCGTTTGGAGTACTGATGATGGAGGTGGCGACCGGGAGGAGACCGGAGTCGGGGATGGTGGACTCGGTGCACCGGTCGTTCAAGGAGGCACGACCGCTATCGGAGGTGGTGGACCCGGCGTTACTGAAAGAGGTGCACGCTAAGCGGGAGGTACTTGCGGTGTTTCATATCGCGCTTGGGTGTACGGAAGCGGATCCGGAAGCGCGTCCGCGGATGAGGACGGTGGTGGATGGGCTCGAGCGCATTGGGCCGGGGAGTTGAGCCGGGTTCGGGGTGCTGTTATATCCGGTTTAATAACGCTGGGGTAGTGTGTGGTCATTGTAGGAGTATTGGATAACAGTTTGGACTGAAGCTAGCAGGGAAAAAAAATTGGTTAAGATGTTTTATTATAAACATGATCGATGAATTGTAAAATTATTAAATTTATTTTAAGATGAATTATATATCTTAAATAATTCATTTTAAAATTAATCTAATAATTTTGTAATTCATCTCTAACTTGTCCCTGTTGTAATCCATGACTGTACTGCAGCGATTTTGTTTGTATTTTATTGAACATTTTCGAATGGGAATATATTTGTTTTGCCTATTTGCTGCCGTCGAATTTGAATCCCAAACTTTTTGTCGGTTTTGAAGTTAAAGTGGACAAAACTGGGAGTCGTCTTCGGGAGAGGTGAGTCTGGACGACAGGTCAGAATAGTAAATTTGTATCAGAATTATATATTGAGAGAGTTTTTTTTTTTTTTTTATGGTCGTTCAATTGTACAATACATATTATACAATATGATTGACATTGTACAAAATTGATCATCCTAGGGATCATACCAAACAAAATCCATAATTTTTATACCGATCGTACTATATGATGTCCACACTTCTAGATGATTGATACAAAGTTGGCCATCCCAAATAAATAAAAGAAATTTCTACAGCTTGTACTGTATGATATTTTGATCCTACTATATGAAATGTGATAAAGGTTGAATAATTCATCTGCACGACCTTGCTAGTCGAGTCTAAATTATTCTAATCGTATTGTATGATAAGTGTATCGTAATATACAATAGAAGATAAATCTCTTAAAAATTAGGGTTTCTTGAAGCCCACTACTTAAGATTTTATAATACTTCTATTAGAAAATCTTTGGTTATTGAGACTTCAAAAGAGAGAGCCTTGAGGGAGAGAAGACAAAGAGCACTATGAGAGAAGAGAGGGAGATTTTATGAGGGAGAAGTTACAAAGGGATTCACAAGGTTGCTCCAAGCGAGAATCTTGCCTAGCATCTACAAGCATATGTAGGGATTCTTTATAGCTCTAGAGAAGAAGTTCTTCAGCAATGATCATGGTTCTCTAACCATCACCTTGAGGGTGAAAATAGAGTTGTAGTTCTCTTACCATCAACTGGACGGTGAAAATTGAGTTATGGTTCTCTGACCATCACCTGGAGGGTGAAAGTAGAGTTGAGATTCACTACTTGTAAAGGAGTCATGGTTCTCTGTTGCACTGGGGTTTTGAAATAACATCTATACAGGCTTCTCTACCTTGCTGTGAGAGAAAAAGGAGAGTCACTACTGTTTAATGCAATACTTGGAGAGTCTCCAAGGAGTACACGTAGGTCAAGTTGACTGAACCATTATAAATTCTTATATGTTCATTCTAATGATTTTCGCACTTTATTTTTTATAATTATATGTGTGGTTTAAAAATATGATTTCTTTCATTATTATGAAATTTACTTATTTATGTATCCATTGTGTTGATTATCCTGTGTGCGTTTGAAAATATTTTAGGGAATTTCTTTTTCCATAAAGAATTTTTTAAATATCTAATTCACCCCCCTCTTGGTTAGCATCATGCTAATTATTAGAGGTTTAATAACCTTCACAAACTTTCAAGTGGTATCAGAGCATGATTCAAAAATTAAATTTTAAAAAACTTTTAAAAAATGATCAATGGCTAACTTTAGAAATCGATATACTGTGGAAGGATATTCAATTACACAACCACCTTTATTTGATAATATTTCTTTTGATTTTTGGAAAATTCACTTGTCTAATTTCTTGCAATCAATTAATTATTGTATGTTGAAGTTAGTTCAGGAAGGATATTATGTACCTTCACTTTTAGTTATTTGCATGAAAACTAAACTTCCTTTCTCTAAATGGAGTTTGAAAGACAGATACTTAGCCCAAATTAATATTAAATACTTAAACTATTTCTTTTATGCTTTGAAATCTAAATATTACATGCATGTATCTATTTGCACAACTGAAAAAGAAATCTGGGATAGACTGCATAACCTACGAAGGAACAACTAAAGTGAAACAATCTAGGTTAAATCTTCTGCTTTATGAATATGAAATCTTTTGCATGAAACCTAGTGAATATATATCTGAAATGTATATAAGGTTTACACAGATCATCACATCCTTACATGCTTTAGGTAAAGAATTATCAAATTTTAAAAAAGTAAATAAGATTCTATATTATTTACCTTCTTCCTATGATGCAAAAATTACTGCTATTATTGAATCTAAAGATTTGAATATTTTCTCCATTGATAACTTACTTGAATCACTCATTGCCTACGAGTAAGGAGTGAGTCAAAGATAGCTTGATGTAGGAGAAAGAAAGGAGGAGAAAATTGTAGCCTTAAAGGCTAATGATTCAAAGAGTTCCTCTGATGGAAGAAAGGGTATTTCCAAGACGCTCAGTTCGACTATAAGTTTATTGAAATCGGAGTTCAAATGCTCCTGAATTTAATTATTGAAGTTTCTGGCTTGATTTTGCCTCAAGATTCATGCCCGATCAAGATAATTTTGCATGGTGTATCAGTTGCCCCCCTATTTTCGGACGTCAAAGTTCCAGGAGTCCGAAAATATATGTGTCGACAATTTGCAGTGGACAAATCATAAAAAATTGCATTCCGAAAATTATGAACATCCTCAAACTTGATGATAGAGGCCTCATTGAGCTCCGAAAGTGTCAAAATTGAGTCCGGAACGTCGAAAAACATGTTCGGGGACCCCAAAAATGTCTGATTCAGACCGTCTAGGCCGAAAATCAGGCCAGGACACGTGTAGGCGGCCGAACCGGCCGGCTGACGCCCGCTGCTGCCGGCGGCGACAGCCTAGCGCCTCGCTCGCGAACAAGCAGGCCTCTATGGGGCGTGCGGTTTGGGGTCGGCGGTTCCATTTTTTGATTTTTTTTTTAATAGAGTGGGGCTCACAAAAATCTAAAAAAATTCCAAAAAATTCTGAAAAAAATCAAAAATTTTGAAAATTTTGAAAATTATGGAGAATTTTATAAACTTCCTCCCTTCTCTCACAAAAACTATAAATAGGCCTCTAAGGCCTTTAGAAAAATTGCCCCTTCTTTTCTTCTCCCTCTGGCTCTCTGGCAGTTGAGGCTTTATGCTATTTTTGAGTGGGAAATTTTCACTACTAGACTTGGCGCCCCTCCACTTATGCAGAAGTTAGGGGATCTCTTCTTTTCTTCTTTCTTTCCTCCTCTTGCTTTCTGACAGTCGAGGCTTTTCGCTATTTTTGAGTGGGAAACTTTACCTGCTCGACTTAGCGCCCCTCCTCTTGTGCAGAAGTTAGAGAAATTTTCTTTTTCTTCTTTGTTTCCCCCCTCTAGCTTTCTGACAGTTTAGGCTTTCCGCTATTTTTGACTTGGCGCCCCTCCACTTATGCAGAAGTTAGGGGATCTCTTCTTTTCTTCTTTCTTTCCTCCTCTTGCTTTCTAACAGTCGAGGCTTTTCGCTATTTTTGAGTGGGAAACTTTACCTGCTCGACTTAGCGCCCCTCCTCTTGTGCAGAAGTTAGAGAAATTTTCTTTTTCTTCTTTGTTTCCCCCCTCTAGCTTTCTGACAGTTTAGGCTTTCCGCTATTTTTGAGTGGGAAAATTTCCCTGCTCGACTTAGTGCCTCTCCTCTTATACATAAGTTAGGAGATCTCTTCTTTTCTTCTTTCTTTCCCCCTCTAGCTTTCTGACAGTCGAGGCTTTCGGCTGTTTTTGAGTGGGAAACTTTCCCTGCTCGACTTAGCGCCCCTCCTCTTATGGAGAAGTTAGGGGATTTCTCTTTTTCTTCTTTCTTTCTCCCCTCTAGCTTTCTAACAGTTAAGGTTTTCCGTTATATTTGAGTGGGAAATTTTCCCTGCTAGACTTAGCACCACTCCTCTTGCGTAGAAGTTAGGGGATATCTTCTTTTATTCTTTCTTTCCCCCTATGGCTTTCTGACAGTCGAGGCTTTCCGCTGTTTTTGAGTGCGAGCACCCTTCCTGTTGTGTAGAAGTTAGAGAATTCCTCTTCTTTTCTTCTTCCTCTATTCTTCTTCTTATATTAGAGGCATTCCACTGTCGGAGATAGGTGACATTCTCCTATCAAGCTTCAGTGCCCCTCTTTTGTGTAGAAGGAGGCTTTTTTCCTCCTTGTTCTTTGCTTGTGCTCTTCTTCTTGCATTGGAGGCATTCCACTGTCGGAGATAGGAAACATTTCCTATCAAGCTTCAGTGCCCCTCTTTTGTGTAGAAGAAGTTGCGATGAGATGCTATCTTCTAAATAGATAACCCTTGACAGAAGAAGATCCATTGCTACTTGTATGCGAGGGTGATTTGAGAAGACCTGGCGATGATAGTGTCCTGGAGGAGAACCAGAAGTGATGAGTAGACGAGAGATTTTTTAATGCTATTTGAGCGGAAGTCTATCGGCGATGGACGATCGAGTTGAAGCCCAATAGTAGTCAACGATCGATGTAGAGCTGAAGCAGAAAGTTCAATGGTGCATTGCAAGTAGCAATCCAGTGAGAAGTCGATGATGGCTGATATGAAGTGAATGACCGCCGACAAATATCAGATGAATGACCAATAATGGCGGGTGTCCAGTGGCATTTTACTAAGGCAATATGTATCCATACTGAAGTGTGCCGACATCAGATATTCTTAATTCAAGGGGCTGGAGCAGTGTGTTATGTCGATATTCTGGTGACACAATAACACTATTAACTAAGTAGAGGCCTGATGATGATCAGGCTATGTCCTTTCAAAGAATAAGTTATAAGAGTTTCTTGTGTGAAGTAGAGAAGAGGTCAATAAATCCACTAAGGATATTTGACTGTTTTAAAGCTTCTTGTTGCTTGATGATTGTAACTTGTGCAGATGATATCAATGTACATTTTGCTTTCAAATTCTTGCAAAAATGAATTTGTTGTATAATTTTGCAATGCAACTCCAGTGATATTGAGAACTTGTCCCTTTGAGGAAGCTAAATTGTTATTGCATCTTTGAAACATATCGTGATACATTGCCCCCCATATTTTCTGAGGGTATTGTTAGACTGCAAAGGTCTTTATATGAGGGATGATTTTATCAATCACTTGCTTTCATGGAATCTTCATAGAGATAACGTTGTTCACGCAGAGCACTGCTCGACCTCTATGAAAGAGATCAAAAGAATCCACCAATGACGTGAGACCTATACGAGGTTATGTGTTAGAGCCCTGCTTGATGAT